CATATGTTTTGAGCAGCCACTATCCATATACCATATTTGGCTCCTCCCTTTCACTTGGACCTGCAAAAAGAAATCAGGGGTTAGTCTTAGGAACCCAAACTATTTTGGGTCCCTTTCTATAGGCAAAAGGATGAATCAGATTCCTTCTTGCCCACCCAGGCAGCTTGTTTTTCTCTTGAACAAAGACTTTGTTCTTTTGACTGGCCTTTTCTTTTATATTACATACATTTTTGTAATGGCCAGCCTTGCCACAGTGTGTGCAGATTTTATTTTCAGGAAGAGTGAGGTACTTGCTTCTAGAGTCCCATTTTGGAGCTTGAGTCCCACAGCCAAGTCCTCTTTTATTGCTACTATGATGCTCTTGCAGCCAAGAGAGTGCATCAGAAGCCTTGTTCCACTTGCAAGTTCTGTTTAGTTCATGTATCACCTTTCCTAGATCTTCCTTCAGGAATTTGATGAGTTCATCTTTCTTATACAATTAATATTTCAATTTTACCAAGTTTTCTTCTAGAGTGAGATATGTGTGATCAGCTTTCTTCTTTCCTGTTCCTAGTTTCAGTTTTAAGTTTTCGGACCTAAGTTCTACGACACTGTTATCAAGTTCAAGAACCTGGTTCTTCAACTCAGCATTTGTGTTATCACACTTATTAGCCCTAGACTCTAGACTTTTGCATTTTGCTTTTAGGATCACACATTCCCTAGACAAAACTTCTTTCTCATTGTTAATTATCTCAAACTCATCAATGAAGTCTAGTAGTAGCTCAGCCAACTTTTCTTTAGACAAAAATTTAATCTTATTTTTGAGATGAAGGATACTTACCTCTTGTTCATCATCTCATTCTCCGATGGCCATCAGTGCGTGCTCTTCTTCAGCTTCATCTTCTGAATCTTCATCTGAAGTTTCTCCCCAAGTAGCAACCATAGCCTTGGTTGAACCTTTGTTCCTTTTTGGTTGAACCTGTTCCTTCTTCCTGTTCCTTCGTTCAACCCTTTCTTTCTTCCGCTCAATTTCCCATTGAGGGCAGTTCTTGATCATGTGATCAGTCTTACCACACTTGTATCAACCCTCATTGGTTTGTTTCTCAGGAGCTCTTGACTTGTTGAAGGTTGTACCTCTTGAAGATCCTTTTCTTCTCATTAGGTACTTTTTGAATTCTCTAGTGATCATAGCCATCTCATCATCTTCCAGATCTGAACCTTCAACAATTCTGAGAGCTAGGCTTCTCTTCTTCTTGGGTGTATTCATCTTCATG